ACCGTTCTGATCCATCGCATGTCTTGACCGATGGAACTGTAACTCTTGATGAAAATTTGACTTATGAAGAAGAACCTGTCCAAATTTTGGCACGTGAAGTCAAGGAACTAAGAAACAAATCTGTCCCTCTAGTCAAAGTACTATGGAGGAATCACTCGACTGAAGAAGCAACATGGGAAACTGAAGAGTCAATAAGAATGCAATATCCGAACCTCTTCAATCAATGACTCGGGTAATTTCGAGGACGAAATTATTTTAAGGGGGAGAGAAATGTAACGCCCCGAAAATAGGCCTATCAGAATTAATTAATTGATAATTAATTAATTACTGAGAAGGACCCAAAAATATGTGAATTATAAAGTTGGTCAATAAATAATAAAAATTTTATCATTTTGTAGAGTTTGACTGTCCGATTCCAACGGTTTAATCAGATTTCAATTCGGAGACAGTTGGACCAAAAAGTGTTCCCCGACTAGGACCAAATTAGTCCCAATCAGGGACTTACGTTTAGAATCGGAGAAGATAGCAGCCCACTCCACTCAGCCTCCGAAACAGTCGAAAGGAGGTCATCACCGTGTCTGTTTCCTCTTCACTAAGGCTATATAAGGACCACCTCTTCCTACCCAATTCTTCACCATTTCTTCCCAAATTGCTTCTGAGAGTTAGCTTTGAGTGTGTAGAACGCAGTGGTGCTGTCATATTGGTGTGAGGCCGCCGGAGATAGCCACAATCCTTGCCAGAAGTTTTGCCAGAAAATTTCCAAAACCTCCATTACGCTTCGAGGTAAGCCCGTAGATATATCTAATGACTAGAATGTTTGTATAGATCATTTCTACGTTCATAAACGGTCGTTTGGTTGAGTTTTGTGTTGGACATGCTTGAAGAACCAAGAATCATAAACCATTAAATTGATGTTAAAACTATGAATTAATGATCCCAAAATGATCTTTGAACCTTGGAGAACATTTCTATATAGTTTAATCGAAGTTTGGAACCTAAAAATGGAATTCTCGAAATTGAAGTCGCGAGGTAGAAGACGATGAACAGTGGCTGAAAAGCCACTGTCTGGATCGATCCAGGGGCTTGGATCGATCCCCTAGGAGTAAATTTTCAGGGTATGGATCGATCCCCCGAAGTTCTGATCCAAAAATTTGCCCGAAATTGCTATTTTTGAGCTCTAAAATCCTATTTTTGATACCAATTGATTATGATTATTTTAAGGATGATTCTTTACAATAAAAATGATGCTTTTAACAAATAAAAATGTTATGTGATGCATGTCGGTAAGTTCAGGTGTTAACACCCGAAGCTAGGGCGCTAGTTGTTATTGAATATTATGTTGATTAATGATTATGGTAATAATTATTGATTGATGATTATGATGATTAAATCTCAATAAATATTCTGATTAAAATGATAATTGTGAATGATTTAATCATAATGAATATATTGATGATTGTGAAAATAATATATTGTTAAGGGTATCTAGAAGACCTCTAAGATATACCCATATTAATGTCGATTTGAAAGGTATCTAGAAGACCTCTAAGATATACCTATTTAAGTTAGGCCTTGCGGGTATGAACCCCGGTGGCTAGGGTTAAAACGTACGTACGGGATCCAAGAACCAAACTTGAGTACCTACTCGTTTGGGGGTACCACCCACCCAACAGTGAACACTACGCTGTCGGTTTTTTGTTGGCCTTATGTGAAGGTAAGTTTAAGATTTTCAAAACCCTTTTATCTTAAACTAGGCCTAGCTTAAGGATTATTTAGGAATATTTTATACTGGAATATAGTTTAATTATTTAAACTAGAATTCGTTTAAGGGTTGACAAATATTTAAGTGATTGGTCTTAGACTAAGAATAGTTTAAGGATATTGTTGAATGTTGAATATTGAATATTGATTATGAGTAAATATTGAATGATGAATATTGAATTGAATATTGCAATTA